GAAGTCTGAGAAGGATTCAAAGAACGTGAGATCGTCAGGGGGAAGTACGTGGGGGTCAGCCGGGCTAAGACTCTGGTGGATTTGGGTGATTTTATGGTTAAAAAAGGAAAGGATGCTATTACAGGTGTCAGTGGAGTAGAAGTGAGGGGGTAGTAAAGAGGGAGAATTGAAAATTTTATGGAGGACTGAGAAAAGAGTTTTGGAGTTTCCGTTGTTATAGTTGATGAGACTGGAGTAGTAATCTGATTTGGTATGAGAAATAGAATCCTTATAACGGGCTAGGTGGGCGATGTACAGGTCTTTGTGTATAGAGAGGCTCGTTCTCTTGTAGAGGCGCTCCAGCTGGGGTCCTTCAGCTTTTAATGTTCTGAGGTTAGATGTGAACCAGGGGGCAGAGGTGGAAAAACACACAGTGCAGGTTTTTAATGGAGCCAAGGTGTCAAGGATGTTTTGTAGGCTGGCGCCACCTGTCCCTCTGACCACCACCAACAGGCAAGGCGGGTTAAGTGTCTTGCCCAAGGACACAACAGCAGCATTCTCTGGTCGAAGTCAGGATTGAACCTGCAACCTTCCGATTACTGGACAACCCGCTCTACCTCCTGAGCTACTGCTGTTCAGTCATTTATTTATATTCTTTCTAGTCTAATTTGAAATGCTTTCATTTTATGAATATATTTCACAAGTCTGAATACCTTTTTTGAGTATTGGAAGAGGTAGATGACCTCGCAGTCTCCATATTTGAAACAGTAGATGGTTAAAATCATGAGAAGATGTGATAAGTTTGTATTATGTGCTTTGAAAAACAAATCCTAAAGTCATTTAGTAGCTTGGTTTTTAGCCTGTCTTCAAATTCACAATAAATGTCCCAACAATAAATAGTTGTAAGTGTGCATTTACACCTTTGATTAAGAATTACCAAAGCATTGAAGGTGGCTAAATTATGAGTTCACATATGAACACAAAAGCACATTTCTCCTTGATCATGTTTGTGTTGAAGCTCATGATGCAAAAATGGTGTAAAAACATGATAATTTGTTTTCTACCAGCTCTAAAATCTATGGGGATGGCCACGCCGTTCCACGTATTCTCAAGTTTCTGCGCACCATTGACCTTGACGAGCCGCTGCAGAAGACCTTTTGCTTCCCTCCTGTGAAGGACTCCATCTCTCAGGACATTGACCACATTCTGGAGACCCAGAGTGCTCTGTCTGTTGACCTGGGGGGCACCAATCTCAGAGTGGCCATTATCTGCATGAAGGTAGGTTACATAAATAGTTCTAAGGACAGACACCTTTTGTCTTTTAAGGTTGAATAAAATGGGATATTTGAGTAGTTTGAGTAAATGTTAACTAAGCTTTAAATTCTTCTTTTTCCATTTCTGTCCAGGGCAGCATCGTGAAAAAATACTCAGAACACAATCCGACGACTTTCGAGGACCGGATGCATCTGATCTTGCAGATGTGCAAAACTGCCATCCAGGACGCTGTTTGCCTGAACTGTAGAATACTCGGTGTTGGTAAGAAAAAGCAAACATCTATGACTTCTGAATGAAAACCAGCTGAGACATATTTTATCTGAAGACTTTCAAAATGTGCTTTTCAGGAATATCGACGGGTGGCCGCGTGAATCCTCAGGAAGGCGTTGTCCTTCATTCTACGAAGCTGATCCAGGAGTGGTCATCCGTGAACCTGAGGACTCCCATCTCAGACGCTCTGGGTCTACCGGTCTGGGTCGACAACGACGGGAACTGTGCTGCACTGGCGGAGCGGAAGTTTGGTCACGGCAAGGGAGTGGAAAACTTTGTCACAGTCATTACAGGAACAGGCAAGGAGAACAATTTCTTTAAAATGATTGGGTTACACGTTTCTACGAATGTTGATATTTTTCCTTCTAGTCAGAAATAAACCAAATGATTCCCATTTTAATTTAGCATGAACTGGATTGAACATTTCTTTATGTAGCTCTGAAACTAACATAAACCTCTGTAGGTATTGGAGGAGGAATCATCCATCACTATGAGCTGATCCATGGCAGCACCTTTTGTGCTGCTGAACTGGGTCATGTTATAGTTTCACTGGAGGGTCCAGAGTGTTCCTGCGGCAGCCGTGGGTGCATAGAGGCTTATGCGTCTGGCTTGGCCCTGCAGAGAGAGGCCAAAAGGCTGAACGATGGTGAGGAACCATCTTTTTTCCACATTGCATTCTGCTATTTAACATATTTTCCATCAATTTTACAGTTTTTGCTGTAACTTTGGGATGTGTACATATACTGTTAGTATTTGTTAAATCCAGACAAAAACGGCTTAAAGTACAGTCTGCCTAAGTCATCATTTGGACAGTTTCCCAAAAGCTTACTGGTTTTCAGTAAATGCAAGTGAACACTTAGCTTTAAAATGATGACAATGAAACGATTCAGTCTGTGTTTACATCTGTTCCGTGAGTACAAATAGGCTGGGTTTTACTGCGTCTGTTTTATAGCTTCAGTGTTCGCAAAAACTCCTGAGCTAATCGTGCCGACCTGGCAAACGTGGAAGTGTCTCAGGAAGGACATTTTTGAGCTGCGTGGGACAATGTCCTCATGTGCATGTGTATCCGTTTAACAGTGGATGGGTGGTATAGTGACCTCAGATGTTTGTGTAGGATAGGGGTGTAACGGTTCACAGGGGGGGGTGCTGAACCATTTCGGTTCGGTCCACTTGTACCGTTTCGGTTTAATTTTTTCCATAAAATAATACATTTTTATTTCTATGATTTAAGTGCAGCAGATAAAAGTTCCTAGGCGAGTTTCCGCACTATTGAGTGAAGCATGATGGCTGCACGCACCCGATCTCCGTTTAAAAAATGTGATCTGCAAATTCTGATCAACGCCTTTCAGAGCAGATCAAACCTGCTGGCTCTTGCTGCTACGGTGGAGCCTGTAGAGACGCTGAACGGAGCGTTGCTTTGCCCCTCCCTCCCTTCTCTCACACTGTGCCAGTACGCAGCGGCAAAAATGTAAACAAACGCATCTGCTGAACTTTCGCCCTGTGACAACTGGTGTAAAGTTTTCATCCTACAATGGAAATACGGCACGGAGGAAGCTCGTTGATTAACACGAGTTTTAAAGAAGAAACTTAAGCGGTGTGAGGTGAGTTTTAAGGCTTGTTGCAGAAAACACGGAGCATCAACAGTCAAACACAACACTTGTCTGTGTGAACATGACACTCATAGCTGCAGAAATAACCTGTGAAATAACTAAAGACATCATGCTAGATCAGCAGCCTGTGATAACACCGGGTTCTGCTCACTATAGGAGCCGCTTCAGATAAAAAATAAATAAATATAATGATAATAATACAGAAAATAAATCGAACCGAGCTCTTCAAAACACCGAACCGAATATGATTTCAGCGTACCGTTACACCCCTAGTGTACGATGCAGATTTTTCCTGCTGTAGTCTGTTAGAATAATAACAAAAAATCTGTGATTTTATTTATTTATTTAACAAAATGCTAAACAGTTTCTGTCATGAGGTTTAGACAGTCGCTCCATTCAGAAAAATAAAATAAGAGCTAAATGCGATTCTGTCTGGTGCTTTAGTGCTGCACAAACGTTGTAATATAAAGAAGTAACTGTAGCATCGCGAAAGCTTCATGTGCCCTGATCAGTTAGAATGCATTGCTGCAGGCGGCTGCAGAGGTCATAAATGATATCTTGATAAAAATGTTCCTTTAATCCAATCATCCATTCACATCCCCTTATCCGGAGCTGGGTCACGGGGGCAGCAGCCTAAGCAGAGAGATCCAGACTTTCCCCTCTCCAGCCACTTGGGCCAACTCCTCTGGGGAATCCCAAAGCACTTCCTGGCCAGGCGAGCAACATGGTTTCCCCAGCGTGTCCTGGGTCTTCCTTTAGGTCTTCTTCTGGTTGGACGTGCCCAAAATACCTCACCAGTGAGGTGTCCAGGATGCATCCTTATCAGATGCCCAAGCCACCTGACTCCTCTAGATGTGGAGGAGCATTGGATGTACTCCGAGCCCCTCCCAGATGACTGAGCTTCTCACCTTCATCTCTAAGGAGAGCCCAGACACCCTGCAGAGAAAACTCATTTCAGCTGCTTGTTTTGGTCACTACCCAAATCTCGTGAATCTAGGTGAGGGTTGGAACGTAGATTGGCCAGTATATCAGGAGCTTCGCATTCCGCCTCAGTGGTGACAAAGGGCAGCCTTGGCGGAGTTCAACTCTCCCCGGAAACGAGCTCGACTTACGGTCGGCGATGCAGACCAAGCTCGGTCACACAACGTACCCCCCACAGGGCCCGCCGAGGGACGCGGTCGAACACCTTCTCCAAATCTACAAAACACATGTAGGTTAGTTGGGCGAACTCCCACGCGCTCTCCAGCCCCCCCCCCCCCCCCCCCCCCCAAGGGGATAGAGGTTTCTTTAATGGAAAAATTCTTGGAAGTTTATGATAAGTACGTCAGTTAGCAAGTTTGATGGCTTTAAGTTGTTTGTCAGTCAATAATAAAACATTTAATGTCTGCCATGTTTTCACAAACACTGGAGCTTTAATTAAGTGAGCAGCAGATGCACTTCTGTAGGAGATCCAGTTTCCTATCAGTAGCCTTAAACAAAGTTACAGTTGTGGTTTGGAGTCTATCAAAAACGTGTCTGCTGTTTGTGTCAATTAGAAATAGCATTCATAATTCATTTACTGTTATATTTGCTCCCCAGAGGACCTGCTGAAGGTGGAGGGGATGGATGTGAAACTCTCTGAGCCAATCACAGCTGCTCACCTCATCAGTGCAGCCCGAATGGGTAACTCTAAAGCTGATGCTGTGCTGCGTAAAGGTGAGCGTGACGAGCAAACGCACAAACACGGGATACAATTTCAAGATGTAGCGTAACAATATTCATGATTATGGAAAATGTTATTTAATACCAATGTCTATACCTATGCCAGAAATCTAGACAAACTGCAGCAGTAGAAAAACATTCAGCTCTGCAGGTCGATCTAGCCACGCTCTATTGTAGCCTCAGCAGGGCTACCTGAGCCTGAGCAGTGTGTTTGCCGGGTGGGCTTAGTGCCTTCTTCTTCGTCTTTGTCTTCTTCGTATGGCGGAGTGTCCCGTTTAGTGATCGTCTTGACGATGAATACGTCATGTTCGTTGCTCTGATTGGTTTTAGCGCTGTCAAACTGTGTGCAAAAGGTCTCCTGCAGCGGCTGATTGAGGTGGAGATGAATGATTGACTATTCTAAAGCGCTTTGGAGTCCTGACTCAAAGTGCGGCTCATTCATTTGTTTTACATACTATATAGGATGGCTTGCCAGGCTAACTAATATTAGTAGTTGCATTGTTTGTATTTATTTTATTTGGTATTAATTAGATTTTTTTTAGATAATAACAAAATGAACAAACATGCAAAATAACTTACTAATACTTGAATGAAAATGAGCAGGTGGAAGAAAATCTTGTATAAATAATTCAAATCAGTACCAAAAGTGTTCATTGAACCACAGACTGTATATGTTGTTGGAGCTAAAGAAGCAATGAAGGGGTGATGAAACAAAATCTAACCTCCGTCTTCCTCCTTCAGCGTCCTCGGCTCTTGGTGTTGGGATTGTCAACATCCTCCACATAGTCAACCCTTCTCTGGTCATCCTGTCAGGAGTTTTAGCTTCTTACTACAAGGAGCCTGTGCAGCACATCATCTCCCAGAGAGCGCTAGCCTCCGCCCAGACTATCAAGGTTGTAACATCCGACCTGGAAGAACCAGCATTACTTGGCGCTGCTAGCATGGTGTTAGATTACGCAACAAGAAGAACGTATTGATGGAACCGTTGCTGGTTCTGGACCCTTTAGGAAACTTTTTAAATTCTATTGTTTACCAAAAACATTAATGTTATGGTTTATAATGAACACGAGGTTTTAAGTATAGACTCACTTAATTTTAACGTATTAGTATTTAAATGTAAAGTATTATTTTTCATAAATTGCATCTCTATTTGTGGGAAATACTGTTGGTTCTAGAAATGAACTGGTTTTGGGGCTTGAAAGCGTTTTTTGGTTTATGTTAAAGAAGGAATTAAATAGTTTTCCCACAACACTTTCAAACAGGGCATGTGGCACAAAAGACAGACACATAATCAGGGGTTGTTGTTGATTCGATGATCCAGCGAAGCTGACAGTAGAAGTCTGAGAGGAATTAGTGAGTGGAACTTGGGAGGAAATTCCCTTTTGATTTGGACTTTTGATAAGGACACAATTTTTACCCAGATCAGGTGGAGAAAAATCAGTTTTTGGGATTTATTTCATGAAAATATCATTCATTACATTTGTTGCCTTTGGACATTCAGAGAAAAGAGTTTTAAGACTTGATTAAGCCTTTCATGTATTTTCGTGTCCCTGCATGTTTTGTTTTAGCAATTGGAGCTCCTATCACTGGGTTTTAGGAGTTCTCAGTAACTAGTTCTTTAAACTGTCCTTCAAATGGCTATCGGACCTTTTCAAAGAATTAAAAAAAAAAACTCATTCTTAAAGAATCACAAAGCAGGTTCCTGCTCCTCTGCCCCACTGGCTGAATGTGGAATTACAACACAAGAAGAAACTTTTCCTATAGCGCCTCTCACAATAAAAATCACGAGGCACTTCACAAGAACAAAAATAAAAACAATTTATAAAATGATTTTTATAATATCAGAAAAATAACTAATTGTTATAAAAAATGTAAGGAAAGGGAAAGCGAAAATGAATAAGAGAGGTAATCAGTGGATCCCGGAAAAGGCGGAAATGGTTGAAAGAGCTGAATAAGGAGAGGTTAGGGATGTAGGTCATGCAAAAGCCAGCCTGAGCAGGTGAGTTTTCAGGTGCTTTTTGAAAGAGACCACTGAGTCCAACTGTCGCAAACAACTGCAGTCTGCTGTAGCTAGCGCTAACAACGAGCTAAATCTAACATGAGCCAACTAATACTAATAACCCATGAAGTAAAAAGAACCACACTATTGAACAAAACCTATTACTTACAGGTCCGGTTGCAACAAAGCCAGGTCACAATCAGTTTGTGATTTTGTAGCCTCCTTTAGCTCCTAGTGTAGGCCATGCCAATGTTCACTCTGGTTTTAGCTCTTTGCTTCACCTCCAAAGACATTACTCTCTTACTTTTATTTCTAAGCTCTGCCATGATGCCAACAGAAAAAGCAAACTTCTTTTTCTTCTTGTGCTTTTTATTGATGATCAGTGTACTGAAAATGCTAATAACTCTAGCATTACAGCTAACAGCCGTAAAGCAGGTAAAAAGTGCCCCCTAGAACACCTACCTGCTCCACAAAACTATCTAGTGCAGTATTTGGCTAGCAAAGAGCTGGTTTATGTTAATCTGATCTGATCATGTTAATCTGTTAATCACGATCATTAGATGAAAAGGGGAGGAGGGCATTTTTTTCAAGGAGACGAGCGACTCAGAGCGCTAATGTGTCAAATCAGCAGGTGAGTGGCTGAGCCAGGTGGAGGTGCGGCTGCTTCACCTTGAGACCAATGCACTGCAGCCACGTAGTAATTTGCTGACGTCACGTTTTTCAGCTTAGCCATCAGCCACAGCTGATTCTGAATAAATGTGGAGCAGAGTTTTAACCTGAAGACGGAGATAGAATTATGGTTTGGGGCTGAAATATTAAATTTAAAGTAAGTTGCACTAAGCTGCCACACTAATGATTACAAGTGTACAGCACCATTAGACACTCATCTGTACAGGTTATCAGCAAACAAACAGTTAATTTAGGCGTTACTTGCTCTTTAAAGTCTTCCGACAGTTTGGATGCTAATCACCTCAGTTTTGTGCTAAAATGTCCAATTGAAGTTTATTTGTGTAGTGTCTTTCAAAAATCACAAGGTTCTACACAAGCCAAAAAAAACAAAACAAAACAAAAAAAACAAGAAGGGGCAGAAATGACTAAAATAAACTAACGATCAGCGACGGATCATCAGGAGGTCCCACGAGCAATGCAGATGAGTTTTCAGCTGCCTTTTAAGGGAGACCACTGAGTCCTTGGATCTCAGGCTCAGGGTGAGAGAGTTCCAGAGCCTGGTGGCCACAGCAGCAAATGTTTTACTTCAAAATGTTTTAGTAAATAGGACCTAACTTCATTTCAAAATTATTAAGTACTGATTCCAACAAGTGTCTAAAGCTAGGATGGAAATGTGTGCATTCAAATTGATCTGTAACGCAAGCTTAATATAGTTTTCAGTTGCTGATAACATCAGTGGGCAGTTTGTTTTGACTGTTGAAAAGGCTAATGATCCTGGATAAAGGTGTGATGGGCCAGTATTTCATGTCTTTTATTTAGTGCCTGCAGCGATATCGATGTGTCATGAAGGTCAGAATTTTTTTGTTGTTAAACTTCAGATGTGACCAAATGTTTGCAAATACATTCTCCTGTGCAGTAGCTTTGTTTATTGCAACAGATTGTCAAATTGTTTCTCTTTGAACTGAAGGTACAATGCCAAAAGGTCCATTTCCATGTATTATTGTTTTTACTTAAGATGGTGCAGAAATGGATGAATGTTGTCAACAATTGTTTAGCTTTAAAGCTGCTACAGGATGATGAAGGCCCGAGGACAGTGCTGTTTAAATGTTACATTACTGCTAGACTTATGACAAGAAACCAGGTTTGTACGCACTTACACAAACTGCTACATATGCTGTGTAAAGTTTTCAAAATCATTTTCAATGTTGATAAATGTTGGGTCAAATGATGAATAAAAACTTTTGGATATTGATGATAAATACTTGTGAATCGATCGTTTTACTCGCTGTGTGACAGTGCTGCAGCTTCATATTTAGGAAATTGGGCACAGCATGAGGAAGTTCTTATGTTGTAAAAACCAATCTATTTGTTTCCACCTACATACTTCAGGTGAAATGGGTGAGTGCATGCTTGTCACCTGAGCCTCTTGAGACAATCATTGCTGTTAATTATTAACCAGGTGGACATTGTGTCTGGGTAGGACATCTGCTTCACATACAAAGCTATAAAACTTATTCCAGACCAGATGCACATTGACTGAAGGAATAGAAAAAGGAACATTAACGGGTTGACGGCTGGTATATTTCATTAATGAAATTATTTTTTGTTCACCAGGACAGAAAGGCATTAAGCGAAATGTTTTTGAGTTTCAGTAGGACAATACAAAAGTTGCACAGCAGACAGTATTTAGGCTTACCAAGAGTATGTGTGCACATGTAATCATTACAATTACATGTGCAAAGTGATTTAAGTGGATCAAACTGCCAAAACAAAATATTTTGCACAAGGCTCAAAATTATGCACATCTGAAGCAGTCAAAAGAGCAAAATCCATGTATATAAAGCATTTAGAAAATTCACTGGAGGACTTGCCCTTAAGATTATGGTATTTGCATTTCCTCATAAATGGTTCAAATTAAAGTATTTGAATTTAATAATTGAATATGATAATAATGAATCTAAATGTAGTTTTTATTTGTTTTATTTTTCTACTTTAAATAGAGGGTTAGGAGTAGGGATGTGTATTGGTGAAATTCTGGCAATACAATACGTATCACGATACTGGGGAGATATACATTCAGCCGGAGGATATTAGTGATTTTTTTAGACTGAATTTCATGTAGGAAAATTCAAAAAACAGTCCAAACTGGTACGTAACATGTTTAACGTGAGGTATCTGAACCATAATAGAGGGATTTACATTTCAATGGTGGAAACAAAACTCACTGCGCAGTTCTGCTAGCTAGCAGTTGGCCTTTGAATTACACCAAAAGAAAAGCAAATCCACAAATGTTTGCATGTAAATTCTTCCAAAAATTCGATTCATGGCTTTTGAATATCGATATATCGCAGGGGAAAATATCACAATATATTGCCATATTGGTATTTTCTTACTTACCTAGAGGAAACAACAGATAGTGGTTCGCTCAAGCACGGTGGAAGTTTTATTATGAGCTGTAATTGTGTATTCTGCCAAACAGTTTGAGTGCATAAAAGTTAGCAGATTTTTGGTCCACACTGCAATGCCAGCTAGAAAGATGTGTTTGTCCTGCATGATCCAAAACAATACCAAAGTAATTAATGCATACATGGACAATTATACAATAAACACTTTCAGTAGCGGACTGGATTCCCCAGTTCTCAAGCAGCAACATAGCTGAAAGTGTGGCAAAACAAAAGGGAAACAATTTTACATGATGAATATCCTAAAGAACAAGTCCAGTGGGATGCTTAAAGACAATAAAGCTGTTTTTAGGAGCTCAGGCTGCTGTGAAAAATTAATATTTAAACATAGCAGATACTTTTACATCAATTTGAATTGTGCTAAGAAGTAAAAATATATAATATTAGTATATAATTTATATACTTTTTATGTATATGTTGCTACATTTTACACATTACCCTAGCAAAACAATAACATTAAAAAGGGTCATACTGCGGATTTATTTTTTTTAATCTCGCGGATACACGCAGCAGGTCATGGGATCCGTCTGCAAAGAGTGAAAAATCTGATTGGTCCAATTCTGAAACAGCTATTATCCAATAGGTTATAAGTCCTATCAATCATCTTTCATGTCCTGTGATTGGCCAGCGTTTCATTTCCGCTTTGCTAGTCAGATTTTTTTTCTTCTCCATTCACCCTTCTTCGCTAGCTCATCTTCCTGTGGATAGCAACACCTGTTTAGTGTATTTTTCGTCGTACAGACAGCCTCAACATGGATGATTTTGATATGCTGAACGCACCCGCCGCTGGAAACGGCGTTGGCTCGGAGGAAGACCCAGCTGCTGCCTTTCTGGCCCAGCAGGAGAGCGAAATTGCTGGGATTGAAAATGACGAGGGCTTCAGCATCCTAGACGGTGGAGAGGTGCCTTCGTCGCTCAGAGATTCTAACGGTTAGTAATGGCTTTGTGAAAAGCGTGTTAAGTTCGCATCTGTTCATTTTTAATAATTTGACACATGGTGGCCTTATAACGCGTCAAACGAGATGCGCTTCATTAACATTTCAGTAATTTGACCCCGAGGTTGATGAGCTTAAAGCTAATGCTAACAGCTGTGCTAGCAAAGCTGTCAAATCCCGTAGATTAGTTAAACCATAATTTTACTAACAATTTCCAAAGTTTACACGCGCAAAGGTAAAACATATATTATTGTGTGATTTGTTAACACGTGTAATTAAAAAATGTGGCGTTTTCCAGCGTTTCTAAAAAAGGAGTCCAGTTGTCTGATAACATCAGCTCTACCGTTCTTGATCATTCATTGCTTCCTTGTTAGCTTAACTGCTACGTAGCTACATGCTAAGCGCAACCAGAGAAAACCCACGTACATCTCAACAACCTTTGGCCAAGATTGTGTCACTTCCTCAAGGGTTGCTGTGCATGTGTTTAGCAAGTGTTGGCTAGAAATGCTGACATGTCACTACTGGAAATTTGGGTTTAAAGGTAGTTTATTTCCATTAAAGAAATATCAGACATGATTTTCTAACTGCCTTTTCTATTTGTTTTTTTTAGATGGTGCAATCAATGGAGAGTTCCATGGGGTAAAACTCTTTCTTTTACGTTGGTCTTAAATAATATTTCAAAGTCATTAATTATATCTACATATTGTTTCTTTGACCTGTTATACACCAATATAGCCTGGCCACTAGTGCTAGTTTTTTGCTTATGTACTTCCTTTCATTCAAACTCTGATAATGCGATTTTATTAGTTTTACCACGTTTGCTTTTGCAAAAAAAAAAAAATAATAATAATAATCATAATAATAATAAAAGTTTAGATGTGTGCAGTTGCAAAAATATCCATTTCCTCTGAAAAGGTTAATGATTTGCTACAAACAGATTGCAATATGAAAAAATAAAACACAGCTGGAAGCATTTTTTAATAGAAAAAAATATATTTGACGCTAAAACGATTTTTCTCTTTTTCCACTGCTGCAGCTTTACTTCAGTCCTTAACCATGTGGACTTGGGTTCTTGTTGTTGATGACTCTTAACTTCCTTTTCCTGTGCTGTCATTGCAACATTTCTTTCCCTTCTGCATCGTCAGGACTTCTAACAGTGCGAGAACAGTTGTACAGCCTGTAACTTGCACTCGGATAAAGCAAGGCGACTTGCAAACATAGCTCTTAGAAATAAATAATACATGTTGGATTAAATGTTGATTTTCTGTCAAAGCTCATCAACAATCACAAAAATATAGTTTATTTTTAAATATACACCTTTACCTGCTTGCTTTCTGATGTATTTTTTTTTCTTGCAGGAAAGCAATGGCCCATCAGATGCCTATGCAGCAATTTCCAATGCAGATCGACTGCAGGCTGAACCTGAAAGTCTCCGCAAGTGGAGGGAGGAACAGAAAGAGAGGCTTGAGGTGCTAGGTGAGCATCCAGTGGAATATTTTTCTGTCTGAAGTAGTGATGGGTTGAGCAACACTGATGCATCGGCACATGATCTAGCTCATAGAGTGAGACCCAGCGTTCTTTAAGAAGTAGTCAGTGACCGATATGGCTGCTATTTTGCTTATCACTGAAGCACCAAACTGCATTTAAATGGAGGATCGTCTCCATCTGTCTACGGGATGTGTTTCTGCATAAGTAAATCTTGTGAACCAAAATGAATCCGCTGTTCAGCCACTGCTACATCTCAGAGCTGGAAAAAAAACTGGAGGTCCATCAAAATTTCACTTCACTCTTTCAAGTTTAAATCATTCAAAATATTTTCTGTCACATTTGTTCACTTGAATTTTCATACATTAAGACAAGCATGTCTTCAATGCTAAGACTTCACAGAGAGAGAATGAATATGAATAACAAAAAAACAGCCTGCCTCAAAGACAAGTCCATAATAAACTTCACCTTCACAACAGTTTCACTTTTTCACTAGTTGTCACACACACAGTCACAATTTATCTTATTGTATATTTTAAATATATAAACAATTGTTTAAACTTGGATTAAGATGTTAAATGATGCTGTGTACAATATGGAATACAAATGATGTATTTTGTGTATAATAGCTCATTGAATCAGAATGTCGGTTGAGTCTCACAATTAAGTTGCCTGCAATGATTTCTAAGATCCAGCAGGTGTCAGTAGACCAACAGTCAGAATATTGACACGGTTCGGTTAGCTAGTTTACGCCATTGACACTAAAGTCGTCATTTTAAATCCAACCGCTCGCTGCCATTGACGACTCAAGTCGTCAATTGCATTTTTTTAACCGAGCGGGCGTCTGAACAAGCCCTTGCGCCGTGAAAATTAACATCCCGTCTCTAAAGCCGATCTTCATCTATGTCACACGTCACATGATAAGGAAGCAGAAAATCTATGAATTGGATCGTTTTGTGCCGCTGCTGTGGAAAAAAAGCGAGACACCAACCGGAAAAGCTTCTGTCGTTCATACTTCGACAACAGATTGTGAAAGAACCGATAAAGCTAGAAACACGCTGATTCTTCCTGATGTAAGAAGTGAGTCTCATCTTTCTTTTGTTACATGGTCATAGAGCACAATGTTTTGTGGCTCTTCAAAAAAACAGTAAACGCTCAAACGCTGGCAGTCAGGCTTTCTGATCAGAAAACGTCTGGCAGTGAATGAGTTCATATGTGGCAATGCCTCATGAGGCCTCATCTACCAATCACTGGTCAGGTTTTAGACATCTGCTCTTGAGTTCTAATAAAAAAACATGTCTCTATTCCAGTTTATGGAAATGTAAACACTCTATTCCTGTTCATTTTATTAATAGTGATTTGTTCCAGCACAAAGACCATTCTTTTTGAGACTCAAGAATCAAGCAAAAACACATGTAGACAAAGATAATCATGGTTCGAACGCAACCCAAGAGCCATAAGTGACGCTCGGGTTGAGTTTTGCAATAAAACTTTGATGCATCTGTCAAACCAGCAGATCAAGTCTACTGGTTTGATCTCCAAGTAGAATCACAAACTGACTGAAATGTATGACTTGTTTCTTTTAGTTGAATCCAAACAACCCTCTCACTCTTGTTTATCATTCATTGCTTATTGTTTCTGTCCTTTACCATGTCCCTCTGCAGACGCTAACTCTCGCAAGCAGGAATCTGAGTGGAAAGATAAAGCCAAGTTGGAGCTGGAGGAGTGGCATGCCAGGCAGAACGAGCAGCTGGAAAAAACCAAGACTAATAATAGGTAATTGCTTTGTCTGGGTGAATTAAACCACAACCATGTAGCAAACCTTTCAATTCAATTATTTATGGTGTGATTGACTGAAAGGGGATTTTCTAAATGTTTTTTCTGATCATGATCTGTAGTGGTGCAACGGATCAAAAACTCACGATTCGGATTGTATCACAGTTTTGAGTCATGGATCCAATTATTTTTGGATCAGCAGAAAGAAGAGTCAATTAAATTTGCTCTCTATTTTGTAGAACATTTAGTGCGACATTTTTTCTGCTCAAAGCTAATTAAACGACAAACATTCAACTCGAGACTCATTTAACGCAGTTACGGTTTATAATATCTGTAATGTCAAAGATGTTTTAACTGAATGATTCTTGGTATGTAGAATGAACATTTCAGTAAGAATGTTATGGATATGTTAATTTAAAATTGGAACAATAGAATTGTAGAACTCTGGAAAACACATCTAGTCTGCCTAATAAATGTTAAAAAGGCCACTTTAGGGTTTTAGGGATTCTGAGGTATCTCAAACTTATAAGTGCAGTTGTTGTTATGGATATCCTTAATTATCATTTCTACTAGTAACAACATAGCAGTTGTGTTTTTAGTGACTAATAAGAATACAATTAGTGCTAGGATAACTTAAATGATTACTATGTAGAATGGGAATTAGAGGTTCGATTACTGATTAAATGTTAAAATGGCTTGCCACTTCCCGCGTGTCGTGCTTTCACTCATCTCCTCACCTTTCTGAAAGTGGCATTTCTTTTCCTTTCCAGCTCGTTTACATATTTATCCCCACAAATATTTCAGGTTCCAACACGTTAATTGTCTCAGACATTTTCACAGGTTCGTGTGTGCGGCGCTGTGCCGTCAGACTGGAGGCGCTGCGCCGTGTGTTCATTTTTGCCATTCGTTTCAACATTGTATTCTACAGGGAAGCCAGAAGGCTCCCATAAATGCGACTTAAATGATGCCGGTGATTATTCATAGCCTGGCCAGCCATGCCAATGCTTCCTGGGAGCAAATGGCCTGGTAATGTTCCCATTCAAATAAGCCCACCCCCTGAGAATTCTGACCAAACCAATCAGCGCTGAGCAGCATACGGTAACGGCACACACTGCGACGCTCAGTTTGTCTTAAACAATGAAGATGGTGTCTGAAGGAGAGTCCAACTTTTTTCTGATTGGTTATTTTTGAGCTGGCTAGTCCCAAGTGGTGCTCGCTGCAGAACCACAAAGGCGGAGCTGCACCAGAAGGTGGAGCAGCACCAGAGTCAGCCCCGCCCATTCCATCAGAGTCGGTCCAATTCCTTCCAGTTGTCAGACTTGATGGCATTCTGGAACCAAAGAGGGTGTTCTAGCTAATATCATCTAAAATGCAAGATTGAGGACGGAGTTGAGAGGTTAACTGAACCGTTTTTGTAAAGGTTCCATATAATTAAAAATCTAACTTTTGTAACATTTTACCGTGTTATATTGTAATTTCCTCATAAGAAACACGCCAAAGCCATTTTTGGCCTCATTCGTGCATTTTCCTCCCATCTCCGCTTCAATTTTAGTCTCCTCCCCCAAAGCGGGTCTGGTCTTGGTTCTCAAATCTGGATATTCTGTGAATTTTCTGACAAATTATTTCTGAAATGACTTCTACTGAGACACCGGTGGAAAAACCATCCATCCCATCTACAGAGACACACTGGATGGCACAATTACATGTGACGCCACTTGCTTTTATCAGTGAAGTGGTTGTGGAGTCCGATTCACATGCAGCTTTGCGCAGGTTCGCCTCCCACTAGCGGAAGTATAAAGGTAGTTTAAAACCCTTTTTCTTCTTTTCTAGCTACACTTGCCAGTACTATGTTTACAACGATTTATTGGTATACCATTTACAATATAATGACGTGTCTTTGTTTTTTTTTAAATTTATTTATTCGTTTATTTAGCCAGTGTGAGTCCATTTGTGAGCAGAGTTTCAACTAAAATGCTGTTTAGGAATGACCAAATTCAAAGAACTTTTAGAGACATAAATATTTTGCTAAAAATAAACATTACAACTAAAATATAAACAAATTAAATGTTTCAGCTGGCTAAATAGATTGCTGCCGACCCCACCGAGAGCCGAACCAGCATCAGCTGAGGGGAAAGCGAAACTTAAAACAAACGATTTTGCCACTGGACTACCAGAACCCATTCGCTAGCCTTAAATGCTGTTGTACGCATGTTTTGTTGGAGCGGCATTGGGCAGATATTCACTAAAAGAAACCTTTTCATGTCGGGATATGTTCAGGCTTTGTCATGTAGCAAGTTATATTTATCTTGTTTAATTGGAGCATAAAACATAGCATTAACATTTGTAAACTAGTAACAGCCGTAATTCATGTGGGTCAGGTTGGTTTGTGATATAGTTGAAAAACAAAAACAGAAGAAGTCAGTGCGCTGGGCTGAGTTTGCGTGAATGGGCGGGGCTGACTCTGGTGCAGCTCCGCCTTTGTTGTTCTGCAGCGAGCACCCTCTTGCTAGTCCCGTCCCTCATGGTGCTCTCTGCCTCTGAGTATCCAGACTCATCTGTGTAGAATAGAAAGATGATGATTCTGGAAGGCCAGGCTATGTTTTTAATAAGCTTCTCCCCTCCGCCATGACCATCGCTGTGCTCTTCTCGTTTGGATTAAGTCTCCGCCTGCAGACCGTGTACATGCAGAACCGTAGAGAGATCCGTATGGATCAATGATGACCCATTGCGCCCCTAATAATTGGTCACAGAGTTTTTCATGCAGGCTGAACATGAAATGGTCTCCTTCACATATCTCCTGCATTACCTTCTGATAGAAAATAGATGGTGAAAATTTAGGATTTAAAAATCCTCACAGGTCTACGCCACACTGTGAATTAGTATTCATGGACTCACTGAATTTGACTCACAACTGGGTTGTTTTCAACATCTGGGAAATGGCATGCTGACATATGTGCCAGTTTAAGCTCGAAGTTAGCAGGATCAACTCCACCACATGGCAGAACTCCTCCAGGCTTGCGTTAATTGTGGCGATAAACCATCCAAGTCAGTGGTAGTCGAGTTGCTGTTAAACAATCTGGGGCGAGATGCCCAAATGTCAGGAAATAAGACTCCAAACCCTGTCCTGTGAAGCTCAGCTGCGATGCGAGTTACTTTTAGGTCAGAGGAATTATTTACCGATAAACCCCCTCCCCAAGAACGACTTGCAAGACCTTCATTCCTACTAGAGACCACTGCAAATGTATTTATTAAACAAAGTAGTCCACTCCATTCCTTTGTTCTTTTTTCACACAGTTTAGTAACAAAAGTTTTTTATCTGACATGTTTCGACTGATGTCTCTAGTCATCATCAGTCTCCGGAGTTGGTGGCATCACTTCCTTTTATCCACGGGCAGCAGAGGACGACGTCGCCCTCTGCTGCCCGTGTCCTTGCTGATGACACGGTCCCATGCGTGATCCACTTTGAATACTCCATCGTCTCTGTTTATGGTTTTGTGTCCATGCCTCCTTATTTCTGTTGCTTCTTTTGTATATTTGTTCTTTGTTGATGATCTGTGTACTATCCCAGTCCATTATGATTTTTTTTACTAAACTGTGTAAAAAAATAAAATAAAATAAAAGAAGAAATGGATTATGAAGATAAACAGAACAAACGTACAAAAAAAGTTATCTACTCCTTTGAAATTAATATTTAGTTGGATAAAGTAAAAGAGAATCTCTTTAAACATTAGATAAACAATGTCATCAGATTAGTGTATTTAAGTGCAACAATGAAGTTTTGGACACTGAATATTAATTAGATTATCTGGTTTGCTTTAGAACAGGGGTATTAAATTCTGGTCCTGGAAGCCCGGTATCCAGCATGTTTTAGTTTAAACCCTGTTCACACACCTGATTTCATTTAGGTGATTAACAGGCTTCTGCAGGTCCTGATGAGCTACGGCACAGGTGATTCAACCGCTGAATCAAGTGTGCTGGACCACAGAAACCACTCAACATGCAGGATACCAGCCCTCCGGGCTCAGAATTGAATAGTCCTGCCTTAGAAGATGCTCTAGAAGGTGTCTGGTGCTCTAATGTGTTCCTGAAGGTGACTACCAGAACTGACTGAGAGCCTCTGATATTTTTAGATCTGGTGAAATTCTTTTTTAGAGGCATCTGGGCCTTTGACTGTCTGAGATGATTATAACTGTTTGATAACCAATGATGCTTGTTTTTCTGTCCTCCTCCCTTTTACTGCTTTTCCTCTTCTCTCCTTCCTTCTGGCTGCTCTGTCGTTGGGTGGCTGTTTGTCCAGAGTGCTGGACGAGGACTTCTACAAGCAGCCCTTCTCTGACCTCATTGGTTATGTGTATGTTGCTCCAACTAACATCCTCCTAATAGAAATCATTTAAATATTTCGTCATTAATTTATTTGTTTACACCATTTGTGACCAGTGACATGTCACTCATCCCATTGGCTAAGATTGATTTCTTATAGTTGATTTAACCATCATTTTAACATCTTGTCTTTAAACTTTTTTTATTTTTTTTACCAATTGGGACTCATTTAACCCCATATCTCTGCATGTCATTTGAGTGGAAGCATGTCAGAATATTTGTCATCTGCATGCAGTTTCAGTAGAAGTAGACCATTGAATTGATTTGGTTAATTAGGCAGTTTTACTTACTGCTATTATAAATGGGTTGTAATTGTGCCCATTGACTGTTTAGTTTTCATTAATGTGTTTACACAAATCACAGGAGCTATGGTCTCGTTGATCACTATAAAACAGCATCAGATATACCAGCTTTAAAAGAAATTTATTTTTATAACAGAACCAAAATGATCTGTTTTCACTGAACTGGTTTTCTCTAGTTATGAAAACATTTTACTTGCCTCATAAATATATAAAACACAAGGGAAAGCCATCATCCAGTTGCTCCCTGTGAATGAGAAAAGGGTGGGTGCTTTTAATTAAGAGCTTATCTGTTTTATAAACTCGCTTAAATAATCCAGTAAATATTGGTTCCAGTAGTTAAATAAAATGACTTAGAATTCTTATATTTACAAAAGTACTAAAGCCAATGTTTGGTGACCATAAAGGTGTGGAATACAGAATTTTTTTAAATTATCTCGTATAATCTAAGTTTTTCATGCAGGCTGAATAGTGTAATCTTCTACACCTATCTCCTGCATTAGCTTCTGATGGAAAATAGATGGTGAAACTCTAGGATTTGAAAATCCTGACCGCTCTACGACAAGTGGTCACTTGGCTAGTGATGGGGAAGGCTGTTTGTTGTTTTAGCACCCAGGAAACGGCATTGAATGTCTCGGCTAGCAAAAGTTAACCGTTAGCATTAGCAACTTCACCACACAGCAGAAGCTCCTCCAGGCTTATTTCAGTTCAATTCAGTTTATTTATATAGCGCCAAATCACGAGTCATCTCAAGGCTTTTCACAAAGTAAATATTCCAGTAAAGTTCAGTTAATTATAGAGTTATTCGTGGAAATAAAACATCGTCACCGAGCAAACGAAGTTAGTGGTGAGGTCACGCAGCTGTTATCCAATCCAAGGTAAGATGTCCAAATATCAGGAAATAAGACTCCAAATCCTGCCATGTTCTGCAACTTTCTGCTGCAGCAAACTTGTCCGTGCTGATCAAGGTGCTTCTGGGCTTTTTTTGCTCCGAGTACAACTTGCAAGGCATTCATTCCTACCAGAGACCACTGCAAATGTATTGATTAAACAAGTTTCTTACCCATTTAAATCTAAACAGTTGTCTACCTTAGATGGCTTCATAGGAATTTTTTAGTCAATCAGAATTACAACGTTTACCTTTTTTATGAAGAATTTTAGTATTTAACTTTTAATTGTATTCATTAAGTGGATAATCTGCCATTATCGGTCTACTTCTAAATGAGACGCTCTTATGTCAGTCACATTTGTGAAATTGACTCCAAACTGTGCCTGTCTTCACTCATCTAATTTTTGTGCTGTTTTACTTGAAATATTTGTAAGAATTAGACTCCATACTGTTCTAAAACATTTGCTTGTGTTTGTCAGAACTTTTAACAAAGGTGTTTTAATGTCTTTTCTAAATCAATTCTGTTTCAAATGCTTAGAAAATTGGTGTTTGCCGGAACAGGAAGCTTATGCATTTGTTTGAAGCATTTGTGGTTTTTGATTGGCTTTTGCATTTTGTGGTTGTAATTAAAGAAGAGGAAAAGTAAATTTACAAACTGATTGTTGGACGGTATTTATTTTAGAAAAATCACTTTGAAATTATGTAATCATTTGTTGTAAGATGGTGGTATTTTATCTTGGTCTGCAAGGGCAAACATCCTGCATATTTTAAAGATTTCTCAGCTTCAACGCACCTAATTTTTATCGGGTTGTCAACAGGCTTCTGCAGAGCTTGATGACCTGAACAGGCAATTGAATCAGGTGTGTTGAAGTAACGAAATGACTAAGGCCACATAGCCAGGTAGCTCACAAAACAAATGTTTTTCTATAGTTTGAGCTGCGATCCACATGAAAATGAAGATGTACAGCACCAAAAACGTTTGTTTCAATAAGTCCAACCAAAATGCAAAAACAATGCTCAGACATCACATGTGCGACCCATTTACACTTGAGCACAATTACTGACCAAAGACCACACGTGAAAGACAACATTGAAGACTGTTATTTTCTGCCACATAGGCCCAATCTCGATACTCGCACTTCCACCCTCGCGCCCTTCATTTGCACGTTCCCGGCCAGGGGTGCGAGTGCGTAGGGTGTCCCGATTCTCAAGTGCGGAAGTTGACCACGCCCCCATTGCACCCCTAATCTGCACTTCACCCAAGTCTGCAGCAATGTGGACCTCGGGCAAGGGTATTACCCACAAGTCATTGCTGCGGGAGAAAAGGCTCAAGTTCCTCTTCTGAAAATATATATTTTCTAATGAAATTAGTTCATTTTAGGATGATTATTTGATACTCTGAATGCTTTAGACAAAGCAGCAATGAAGTTAAATTTATTTAAAATAATTGCATTATTGTTTGAAAGTTGTTAATAAAGGTTTTTGAAAAAAGTTTCACAGCGACCTGCATCACGGCATGTGTTGCAATCGATGACTCAATGCTCCCTGTCTCAATTCGGCAATTATTTGCACACTTGTGTACTACGCACTCGAACTTTACTGCGCACTTTCTACAAGTGCACTTTGCTGAAGACCGCAGGGCTCAGTGCGAGTGTTGAGATTAGGTCCTAGTCATTCCACATACAAGGAATGTTTTTAAGCAACGATTCAGAATATTTGGGGAACTACTGCCACCTACAGGCTTGGCGTGCTAATGAACGTGCTTCATACACTGGTGTCTTTCGCTGAAAATGAGGTGCTTTGGACCAAAATTATTTTCCTAGATGGGTGGGGCAGTATATTAAGTTTTACACAAACCTGCATATGTACGTACATGACTACAACCTGCTGTATAGTGTCCGTTGCAGACCAGTGTTCGACACCACTGGTTTAAGTGGTTTTAGTTCTCAGAAAAGTTCAAATCCCTTCAAAATGTAAGATATGTTGGAAATGTCATCTCTTGATTTTAAATGATTAAACATATAAATGTCTACCACTGGTAATGGATACACAAGTGCTTCAAACAACTATTTTCATGCTGTTTTAGGTGCTTTGTAGCAACAGACATGCTAATGGACCTTCACACCAGACATTTTGACTACAAATGTTTGGACAAGCATAGATATATTAATGATGGTGGCAATTGACTTGGGTAGTTCTGATTTCCTCAGGAACTACAGCAGTGTTTCCCATTTCTGGTCCTCAACACCAACTGCTCTGTAGAATTTCTAAGTTAACATGGTGTTTGAGTGTCTTCATGATCCTGTGAGGCATTGACCCCAGTGTCGCTTGCAAATTGCTCAGGGCAGGGGTCAAAGATCTGAGTGAAGCAAGCCCAAAAGAAACAGGTCATTTTGCCCAGCCTATTAAAACCAGGGCACCCTCTTGGATCAGGGCCAGAGGAAGCTCACTCTTGAGTACCTAATTTGAGTTTTGGTTCACCTTGACTGGGCCCAGCCTTAATGGCCTGTATGTGATCACCTCCATGTAGACTCGCCACTTGCAGGGAAAGTAGTGAAGGTCGGTGCAGAGTAAGCTGGGAACCTGAGATGCTGATTGTGGACATCATAAATCGTCGTCATGATGGGAGCAGAACCAAAGCTGGTATGTGAGGTTCAGGAATACCTACTAACTATAGTTGGGGTTGCTTTTACACCGCTCATACTCTGATGGTTAAATGTGCTCATGCATCAAACATCTGTTCAGAACACCAGCTGGCTGTCACAAGGGGTGATGGAAGCCATCTAGTTAAAGAAGGGCTTAAATGCTTGGTTTTCCTGGTACCGTAGAACGATTTTGAGTAGCCTCTTTATTCTGAATTATAGTTGTTTTGGTCTGGTGAGAAGGGACAGCAATAGCTCAGGAGGTAGAGCGGGTTGTCCAGTAATCAAAAGGATGCCTGTTTGATCCTAGTTCCGACTAGAGAATGCTGCTGTTTATGTATTTAGCAGACGCTTTTGTCCAAAGCGACTTACAAATGATAATCGGCATGTTGCCCTTGAGGCTAACAACAACAATAATTAGAACAACCAATTTCCAGTCAGTTGTAGGTGGCAGCATGATGAATCATGGAGAGGAGGGAACAAGGGGTGGACAGGAGAGAGGACAGGTGTAGGGAGGGTGCTGGTTTAGACAATGCTCTCTGAAGAGCAGGGTCTTCAGGAGTTTCTTGAAAGTCGAAAAGGAAGCCCCTGTTCTTGTAGTGCTTAGTAGGTCATTCCACATTTGTGGAATGATGCATGAGAAGAGTCTGTATTGTCCTGAGCGTGGTGTAGGCACTAGGCACTGCTAGCCGACGATCCTGTGATGACCGAAGCGGCCGGGCCGAGGCGTAAGCCTTTGCAAGAGGATTCAGGTAGACGGGAGCTGTACCATCTCGGACCTTGTATGCTAGTGTTAGCAATTTGAATTTGATGTGTGCAGCTAGCGGTAGCCAGTGGAGTTCAATGAACAGAGGGGTGACGTGTGCTCTTTTTGGCTGATTGAAGACCAGACATGCCGCTGCGTTCTGGACCATTTGAAGAGGTCTCACAGTACAGCCTGGAAGACCAGTTAGAGGGCATTGCAGTAATCGAGGCGGGAGATGACGGTAGATTGCACCAGGAGCTGGGTGGCATGTTGTGTTAGGTATGGTCTGATCTTTTATATGTTATACAGCTCAAAGCGGCATGAACAAGCAACAGAGGCAACATGATCTTTAATGGTCAGGTGTTCATCAATCACAACACGCAAGATTTCGAACTGCCGTTGAAGGAGCCAGAGATAGGAAGTCATTCTGGATTGAGATATTGTGCTGTATGGATGGTTTTGCTGGGATGACAAGTAGTTCAGTTTTAGAGAGGTTGAGTTGGAGACGGTGGGATTTCATCCATTTTGAAATGTCAGACAGTTTGATATTCGTGCAGACAGTGGGGTCGTCCGGTGGAAATGACAGATAGAGCTGGGTGTCGTCTGCATAGCGGTGGTAGAAGCCATGTGATCGAATGATCTCACCCAGTGAGGTGGTGTATATGGCAAAGAGAAGAGGTCCTAGTACAGAGCCCTGGGGGACTTCTGTGGCAAGTTGGTGCATGGTAGAGGATTGTCCATGCCAAGATACACTAAATGATTGTCCTGTGAGGTACAATTCAAACCAGGCGTATGTTTTCTCTGCGATGCCCATGCTAGAATGTGACAAAAGGAAGCCATGGTTGACAGTGTCAAATGCAGCCGATAAGTTGAGCAGGATAAGCACTGAGGATATGGCAGTCGCTCTAGCTTCTTTTAAGAATTCCGTCACTGCTAATAGAGCAAGTTTCAGTGGAGTGGCCCTTTTTGAACCCAGATTGGTAAGGGTCAAGCAGACAGTTTTGTGAGAGGTATTCTGTGATCTGCTTGAAAGCCACCACCTGTTGTGTCCTTGGGCAAGACATCTAATCCACCTTGCCTGCTGGTGGTGGTCGGAGGGACCGGAGGCGCCTTTGTTCGGCAGGCCTCATCTCTGTCAGTGCGCCCCAGGGCAGCTGTGGTTATATTGTAGCTCACCCCCACCAAAGTGAGACTTGGTGAATGACTAATTTGTGTTGTGAAGCGCCTTGGGGGGTTGTACAACCCCCCGCCCCCCCCAAAAAGAGGGTGACCCTAACCCAATATAGGCCATTTTCCATTTGTTTTCGGCCTTGGCATGAACTCAGGTTCTTCTCCAGTGTGGATTGGGCTTCTCCTCGTCAGTGGTTCTGTTTATGGATCACCAAGGCAGGATTTATTGAGTAATTAAGAGGAGCGTTCTGATTCAGATACCTTGCCTCTGCCACCTAGTCATTCCACATACAAGATGATGCTATTCTGTTGGCTTTCATGATCCTAAACATGAACTGTAACTAGTTTGCACCTGCTGGAGTAAGTGGTTTAAGTCTAAGGCCACATAAAATCTTTCACATGGGTTGAGTTTTGTTCACTGCCTCAAGCTCATGAGGTCAAGTGTCTTTGTTGTGATGTTAGGAAGGAAAGAAACCTTAACAGCTTATCACAGGTTTAAAAAATTACTGATTCTCCCACTTTAACAGAAAGTAGTGAAGCAATAAAATGTCTAAAACTAGGCTGTGGGCCTGGGAGACCAGGGTTGGGAAACATCTTTAACTGTATGAAGCTCGTCCTAGTAGCTAAAGTCAAAATGTCTGCTGTAAACAAAGTCTCGTCTATTCATGTGCTTAGCTCGATTGCTAGACCTGTGCAGCCTTTGTTTTTGTTTTCCTCCTCAAAATGTTTATCATTGACATTTTTATGCTCTCTCCAGGATGATTGTAAATTATTATGTTACATCTTAATGTTGAATGTGGAGAAAATGGAAACCCACTGCCTAAAACGGTTTTGGTGAAAGCAAAAGCTACGAGCGCTATTTTGAAGATTCACAGGATTTTAAATGAAATCAAAGGCTTCACAAATGATTTCTAGAAAAGTTTCAAATGTTGCTTTTGCATGCCAGCTTCAACATCTGCAATTGGCTCATTTTGTCTTTTGTTTCATTCCCTTCTCTCTCTCTCTCTCTCTCTCTCTCTTTTGAATTCTGACTTGTGAAACTGTTTCTCCCTGTTTTCTTTTCCTATGCACCTTTAAAGCACACACATTAACCATCCTTGCTACCGCCTAGACCAGTTAAGTAAAAATATAAAACCCAGAACGTCTGAATATTTCCTATTCTTGAAAGGGGACAGATGCAGTTTTGTGACTGTGTGTTATGTATTTGCTGTATGTACGAGCTCGGTGCTCTAATCTACTGCCGAGCCAGAAGACTGCTACTTAACCCCCCCCCCCCCCCCATTTGATGTTGTTGTGCTAGTCTTTTGTGTATTTGTGGTTGGTTGTACCATTTAATGTTGCTTTATGTAACCTGCAGGGTGGGGACAAAGCAGTTAAAATAACTGAAGGTTCTCATGGCAGTATTATAATTTTGGGTGGCTGTAGTGAAGGATCATGGGAAAATAGTTTGATTGAATCTGAAAATGTCATGTTTATTTGGAATTGGTCCATTTTGAGTATTATTTTCCGTTTTTGTTTAGAGTCCCTTTTAGTGTTTTTTCTTTAATGAACGGTTCAAATCCATCATGACTTATGAAAAAGATTTTTCTCTTCATCCAGCGTAACTGGAAGCAAACCCATTTGCTGCCATACCTCTGAACAGCCAGCTCTTCTGCCACAGCTAAATGCATGGCTAAAGCCCAGCGTAGTGCTTCCCGTTCATTTGGGTTTGGTTAAAAAAATAAATAAATAAACGTTCCTCATTTATTTAAAATCAAGAGCAAGTATACAGATGAGCTTCTTATCCCTATACTTGGTTTTTGATTGGACTGTGCCAACAAGTCAAACACATATAATGGTTGTTAGTGACGCCCGTCCCACAGTTCTGTGCAGAACAGCTTTTTTAACCAACCAAAAGTGCTTGTTAAGCCTCATGTTGATATTTGAAAGCTAAAGTTTTTTCCCCACGGTGCTGAATGTGGATTTCCCTTTGCTGTTGTGGCAGTTTAAACATTTGAATCTCTGTAATAAAATGTGAGAGCATGCACCAGGTGAAGAAAGCTGATAAAGTAGTTCCTCTTTGTGTGTGTAAATACGTTCACTTGTCTCTCTGTAACGATGGAGCTCTTTGAGCGTGAGATGAGACTCTGTTGAGTTAAAAGTCCAACCCAGAAAGAAAAAACCAATTGGAAAAATATCCAAACTTTTCATTGAGCATTCCGTTTTAAGGATAAGAGTGGGTTAAAGCTAAGTCTGGATTGGTGCTCAGCAGAGGAGCTTCTCCTGGTTTCTCATAGATTTTTTACTTCTTCCTCCACTGATTAGTTTGCTTTGTTTCTCCTCCTTTTATGCACAGAGCGGCTGAGGAAGCCATGATTTCAGATCTGGACGAGAACAACCCGGGGACTGAGTGGGAGCGAGTGGCCCGGCTTTGCGACTTCAACCCCAAGTCCAGCAAGCAGGCTAAAGATGTGTCCCGCATGCGCTCCGTCCTCATCTCCCTAAAGCAGTCCCCGTTAGTCCGCTAGGCACCAGAATAGATTCAGAGCATTGTTCTGTCACTCTTTCCCACCAACCCAACGACCAACGTCACCATTTCTCTGGAGACAAAAGGGACTTTCATCTCTTTTCTCTAACAGCCCTGTTTTTAAGCACCTGTCAGACTGAAGGGTTTCTTCCTCCTGCTCATTTCTGTCCAACCTTTGGCAGGGCTGCTGAGATGATCCATTTCTGCTCCCCTAACAATTTTCTGTCTGAGCACTTCTTCCACAGACTAGTCATGACTTCATAATGTTTGGCTCATGTTAAGGAAACTGCATCCTAGACCAGTTCTCTATGAGCTGGGTCATAATGTCTGTGCTGTTGCATCACACTGTAAGGGTGGTGAGTTGGGACACTAAAAGGGAAAAGTGGATGTGTTTGTTCAGGCTTCCAGCTACACTACATCTAGAGTCAACCCCCCTCATAACCGAGCAATATCACAATGCTGTCATAATTAATGTACCAGTCTTATTTCAGTCCTTCAGGATTGAGGTATTCATAGATTTTATTCACATTTACCCTCTTTTTGTCCCTATAAATATAAATAATCTCCAACATTTGTTTTCTTTTTAAGGACCAAACGTTTGGAAAACAGAAACTCCAGATTCAGTTTTGTGTAGTGGCTGCTTGTGGCTTATTGCTTTAACATTTCCGATCTATACGTTATCATTTGAATTCTCCACCCCTGTGCAGTCGATGCTGTTCCAGTCATTACCATATGTGTGATGTTTGTGTTGTAAAACCTCAGTGTGTATGTACTCTATGCGTGTACCTATGTACATATACAGAAGGCAATATATACAATATAGAAAACATGTATGGCATATAAATTAGACAGTTATGGTTTAAAGAAGGAAACTAGAGACCAGCCAGTTATGCTTGACCATGTGTGTTCATTGTCCATTTGATTTCAGTATCAATAAAAAAAATTAGATCTGCAGTGGTTGTGTTCTTCAGGAGCTTGACTTGGCTATGCTGGTGATGGTGGGGCTCAGAAGTCCTGGAACGTCTATTTTAAGATATCTGTTGGATTAGCAGAATGTATTCACGTCATTTACCCTTTGTTGTGTGAGGACTCCATCTAAGGTCAGTCTTAAAAGATGTCATTTGAAACACCTGTTCTCTGGCCCACATCCTACTCAAGACCTCTGTGAAATCAAGGGTATCAGCTCCAGATTCTATACCTGCTTTAGAAGACCTCTAGTTGAGCCAACCATGTTGATGGGAGCTTCCAATTTGAACTCTGCATCCAGTTTCAGCCCCAGGTTGGTGATAACTCACACCCACCTTACTAGATGGGAGGAATGTAATAAGCTCAGTTTTGCTCTCATTCACATCGAGGTAATTAGTAGGGAGCCAAGACTTAACATCCAAACAAGCCAAAGATCAGAAATGGAGCCCTTTCCCCCTGGAAACAGGAAAAACATCTGGCAGTCATCAGTATCCAGATGAAACTTAACACCATGACTGTGCTGAAGAGCCCCCAATGGAAGTAAATAAAAAGCAAAGAGGAGTGGCCCCAGGACAGAACTTTGTGGTACCCCCACCGCAAAAGTGACACAGCATCACCCAAGAGCCGACCCTGTGATCCACGCCCATCGCTCCGGGCAATACAGCAGAATGTCATGGTCAACAATGTCAATAGCAGCTCTTAGGTCAAATAACAGCACCACAGCTGCACCCTAATCCATAGCTACAAAGATATCATTTAACACCATCAACAGTGCAGACTCCACGCTATATTTAGACTGAACATCTCAAACATCTCCAAACCATCTAAAAAAGACACCAACTGCTGATAACCTTTTTCTGCAATTTAGAGGTGTTAGGAAGTTTAGAGATGGGCCTATAATTTTACAAAACGGACATATCAGAGCCTAACTTTTTCAATATCAGCTTTATCACCACATCTTTCACTGAAGTCAGAACTGAACATGAGTGAAGGCTACCATTTATAATGGTTAGAATAATTGGGCCCAGTGAGGAGGCCTACTTACAGACACAAGGCGACAGGGCGTCAAAAGGAGAGTCAGCCAGCTTTTGATAGACTAGCCTTTCCAACTCAGCTAAAGAGAACGGGTCAAAAGAGGCCAATGTGCAGACAAGGCATGTCTGGTGACACTAACTCAGAAACAGCACCCAATGTCGATGATCTAATTGTAGATATTTTCTCAACAAAGAACTTGTGAAAATCATTACAGTCACCAGCTATGGAAGAGGTTAAATCAGGATCTTGAAATCCCAACACAGAATTTAGGGTGCTGAAGAGGAGTATAGGGTCATGCGAGTTTGCAGAAATTATGTCAGCAAAATCTGCTACCCTAGCCTTCCTCACAGCATCCTGTTATGTAGCCAAAGATACCCAGAAAATGCCACGAGATCTGCAGACCATCCTTCTTCCACTGCCTTTCTGCAGACCTACAGTCCTGCTTGCACGCTTGAGTACCATCAGAGAGCCAGGGATCCCTTCCTAATATGGGGCATTCCCATCTGTACCTGGTTGGCCTGGCCCGGCCCGGATAGCATATCGTGTGGGCCATTCCCATCTGTACCGGGTCGGCCCGGGCCGGGTAGCATAGGTTGTTTACATATCTGGGTGGCCTGGTATTTTTCCGGGCCAACCAAGGCTCATTCTCAGCCCTCTTCTCGAGGGGGTCTGCTTCAGGCCGACCAGGGCCAACACGCCCACTGCTGACAGCAAATTCACACCTTCCATTAGAGCAAGCCTCTGATTGGTGGGTAGAATCAGCCCACATGGGCTTAAGGCAAGGATGTGTGGAATCAACCGGGCCAGGCTGGGGCTACCCGGCCCGGGCCGACCCGGTACAGATGGGAATGGCCCACAATGGTGGCCTGCCTTTTTTCAGGGTGCAACAAGACTGTTTTTCAGCCCTCTTTCTGAGGTGGTCTGCTTCAGTCTGACCATGGCCAACACACCCACTCCTGACTGATAAGCTGGCTTATCAGTCAGCAAATTCACACCTTCCATTAGAGCAAGCCTCTGATTGGTGGGTAGAATCAGCCCACATGGGCTCAATTAATTATCATTCATTCATTATGCTGATTACCTAGAAGCTGAAAATGTCTCTGACTGCATTCCTTGCATACCTAAGCAAGGATGTGTGGAATCAACCGGGCCAGGCTGGGGCCGACCAGGTACAGATGGGAATGGCCCTAGGTTTCCTGATCTTAGAAGGGGCAACATTATCCAAAATTTTATCCTTGAGACATTTCTGATAAGGTTTCTTAAATTTCATTTAGTATTATTGTTCTTTGTGTTTTTCATGCATGTTGTTATAGAATTTTTATGTTTTATTATTTCTTGATCATTAATCCTATTAACTGAATGTATTACGTATTACTCAATGCCTGGAAGCATTCTTATTCATTCAGACACACCCACACATTCCTGCAACCATTCACACACACACGTTCATTTCCGCACACACCTTCTGTTCCTTTCTTATCTCATGTTATAAATAAACTTGAAGGACTGATGTTCTTTGCAGTTTAAGCCCCAACCCTTTGCTTGAGCATCTGCCTTGATTGCAAAGAGTAACTTGTGTGGTTCTTTGTCTCTCTTTTCTCTTTGCTGCAGGTATTAGGTGATTAAGAAAATACCTAACACATGTGCACTTTCCAAATTTTTGTAAAGCTTTTGCTAAACTGTGAAGTTCCCTATAGGGAAATATGAACTTTTATTGTGCTCTGGCTTACGCTCCATCGTGACTCATGAACAAGACACAGAGATGCTCCATTGCAAAGCAAACTAGCACTAATTGAAAACAGAAAATCACATCATCTGGAAAAAACAGAGATGAACATTGGGTTCTCAAACCAGTACCATCTTTTAATTACCACACTTTGAGATCTATAGTCCATGCATTATAAACAAGAGCAACTCTGCAAAATCCAACCCAAAGGTGTTGAGCGATGCTAGCAAGAGGATCTGGATGAGCGAGAGTTGGTTGCCAGATCTTTGCCATTGGTATTAGCCCAAAACTGAATATTTTGGAAAATGCTGAATTACCACTTAATAAGAAAAAAACAGAAAACAAACATATTCAGGAGTTAGAAGAAATCATTAAGTCATTAGAGGCATCCACAGAAGAAGAGTTACTGAGCAAATTACGTAAAGCTAAACTAGAACTTCATGGAATTATTGACAAAAAGACCATTTTTAGCACAAAGACTACAATAGAAAACTTTGAACATAGTAATAAATCAGGTAAATTTTTAGCAAACCAGTTAAAAATAAATAAAGAAAAAACATATCTGCTGTTAGAGACAACTGGGAATATAGTATATGATCCTGAAAGAATAAACAACACTTTCAGAGACTACCACTTACCACAGATAAACCCATCAGATAACAAGATCAATGAGTTCCTTGACAGGATAACACTTCCTAAATTATCCAAGCTACAGTCCTGGACTCACCACTAACATCAGCTGAGCTCCAGGAAGCCCGTAAATCCATGCCCAATAGGAAGACTCCAGGTCCAGACGGGTTTCCAGCAGAATTCTACAAAGAATTCTGGATCATTCTGGCTTCAACATTCTTCAGAATGGCGAGGGAAATAAAAGAGAGCGGCAGATTACAGCCAAATATGAATTTAGCCAATATTAGTCTCTTGTTAAAACCAGGCAAAGACCCAGCATTTACTACCAGCTATCGCCCAATTTCTCTTATTAATGTTGATCTCAAAATAATTTGTAAAGCCCTGGCCAAAAGATTAGAGAAGGTAACCCCCTTCATAATACACCCTGTCCAAACTGGTTTCATTAAGGGTAGACTGTCATCCACAAACTCACGTAGATTACTTAATTTGATAGATTTCTCTTCCAGTAGAAACATAGAAACTAGTATATTATCTCTAGATGCAGAAAAGGCTTTTGATAGAGTTAACTGGAAGTTCTTATTTGCAACTTTACATAAGTTTGGGTTTGGGAACTTCTTCATAAACTGGCTACAAACCTTATACAGTTCACCAACAGCACGTGTCAGGACAAACGGCCAAATATCAGCTAGCTTCTGTCTTCAGAGGGGGACCAGGCAGGGATGCCCACTCTCTCTCTCACTGTGTGCTATCTTTATCGAACCACTAGCGGCAGCAATTAGGCAAACAAGAAAATAGAACATAAGATCAGTTTTTATGCAGATGATGTTTTACTCTTTCTCCAGAATTCTCAATCCTCTCTCTCCCATTCAATAGAACTGATAAACTCTTTTTCAAAAGTTTTAGATTACTCTATAAACTGGTTAAAATCCACAGTTCTACCAATTAATTTATCTTTTGTCAATTTGCTTAATACACAATTGGAGTCAGGGAATATCACATACCTGGGAATTAATATCTCTCCCAAGCTGGCAGATCTAACCAAACTAAACTACATCCCACTTTTAAAGAAAGTGGAAGATGATCTTGCAAGATGGAAATCCTTACCGATATCACTCATGGGGAGGGTTGCTACAATTAAAATGATGGTCTTACCCAGAATAAATTACTTATTTTCAGTGATCCCAAACAAACCACCAGCTGACTGGTTTAGATCTCTGGACTCCTCAATTACTAAATTCCTTTGGCAGGATAAACCTCCACGAATTAGCTTAAAAACACTTCAGAAGACCAAAGACAGAGGAGGACTGGATTTACCCAACTTTATTATTATTTCTTAGCCAACAGGCTGCAATATATACCAAGATGGTTGCAAGATAACCCAACAGATGAGTCTTGGTTAGGTATAGAACAGACACTTTGCAATACGATAGAGCTTTCAGACTTACCATTTATTAGCTCAAGCATATGAAAACATGAAGGCTTTAACCCTCTGGAGGGAGCGTTGCAGATTAGCAACGTGAAAACCTACCTACCTGGTTACTCCACATACGTATTTTATGAGCATTTTTTAAGTCAGAAGTACTCCTGAAGGACTTAG